GAGTCGCATGAAGGGTGCGCTGCATCCTGCTAAGGGTGTTCGGCATCTTGTGCTTACTTCCTTGCGTACGGATGACAGCTGCGTATGAATTACTTTATTTTCTGGTGCTTTCACTTCCAGAGACAGCTGTAAGCACTGTGTAACTGCCTCGAGAGTGCTTGACCATTTTAACACAACGTGGTGCGATCATCCCCCTTGTGCGGAGCGAGGGTTCTCCACCCCGCACAACATGATCTACTCGGCCACCATTATGGTTACCGCCAAAAAAAAAAAAAAAACGGAGGTAAAAAAAAAAAAAACGGTAACCTGGTTGCCGAGCTCACGAAGTGAATTGGCTTGTTTTACAACGTCTTTGCCAAGCGACGAAAACCCAATCCCGATGGCAAACACCGGGGGGGGCGGCTTGTTTTACAACGTCGTTGCCAAGCGACGAAAACCCAACCCCGATGGCAAACACCGGGAGGGGCGAGCGCGGGGGGGGGAGAGTTAATTGAGTGCCCGCGGCGGGCGAGACACCGCCTGCAGCGGGCGGGCACGGGGTGGGAACAGGAACCGCACAAGCCGCAAGGCGTAAAAAACATTATAATAGACGTGTCCAACGTACGAGGAGAACGGGCGAAAGACCGTGAGAGAGACACCGGCGGGGAAACGATAGAAAACACTCATCTTTGCTTTGTTGCGCTGAAGGGGAAGCCTCCCTTCACGTTACCAACAAGTCTTGTCTGTTCGACGAAATGGGCTACACGCGAGAGGTAAAACCCAAACCCGATGTGTGAGGTTGGTCTATTCCATCTCACACTCGGGCTGACAACAAAGCACCAAAATATTGGCAGCCGGGACCAACCGCTAGGAGGCGAGAAAAGGAAAGCAAAGCAGGGAGAAAAACGACAACCAAGTGTATGCAAAAGTCAAAGGCACGAAAAGCAAAAGTAACAGAGCAGCTGAGAACCGACAAGGCCGGCGGGCAAGCTACAGAACCACAAGAAACGAGGTGGAGGACACAAACAGCAGCAGCAACAGCAGCAGCAACAACAACGACGGAAGAGTTGGGAGCGGACGAGGCATGCGAGCAAAATGCAGGACCACTCTTAGAAACGACGTTCAGGACAAAACAACAACTACAACAACTACAACACACACACCGCTCAGGACGCTGGAAAGCAAGCCGCCGAGGTAGAGGTAGCTCCGCCGTTTGGCGAATATGGCCGCGCCCGCAAAGCACACAAACACGGTCGTGGTGGCCAGCAGAGAGGTCACCAGAATCGACGGGTCCACGTGCAGTACCATGTCAATCAGCGGGCCCAGCGAAAAGCCCTGGAGCAACATAAAAATAAAACATGAACCAGAAAAAAATAACATCGATGTGGCGAATAGTGGAGCGGATGCACTCGGCGGCGCAGGGGAGAGTGATTGGGTTGGAGACAACCAACCGACCCACACGGAAGCGCATCCGAAAGCTAGGGGCTGAAAATCTACGGTAGGCCTCTTGAGTGAGCACGAGAGCGGGCTACTCGTTTTGCACCGCACGAAGTCAACCGGGGATATAACTAACTTTTTTTTTCGCAGTGCTATGTCGGTGAAGTCGCGAAAGCATCGAGGCTACGTAGGCGGTGAGAAGTATACACGCACAATTTGATCACTTCTTGCTTGCGCCTGTGCTTGTGCTTGCGCTAGTGCTAGCGATGATGCTGACGCCGTCGATGACATCACCGTTGCCGATGCTGCCGCCCAGGCTCGGCGATGGTTTGAAAGGCCGTTCGAGTGATACCCAGCCCGACACGCGTGCTGTGCTGAACCACATCCCTCGGAACAACTTCCAGTTGTGACTATCGTCGTTGGGAGTGTAGGCGATTCACATTATAGCCAACGACTTCAAGAACACATGTGCAAAGGTTCGAACCAATTCGACGCGCTTGTTTTACAAGCTAATATACCACACGAAGGTTTGCACAAGCTCTACCGAACGACGGGAAAAAAATCAAGAAAACATAACAGCACCTTCAGGAGGCCAAAGAGGAGCAAGATGCCAACCCTCTTGGGGTTGTTGTTCTTGTCCTGGTCAGCCGCGAGCCACACCATCGCGCCGAGGCCTTCCGAAGCGGTGGGAGAGCGGCGGGAGGGGTGAGCGGGATCGGGAGGGGGTGGGGGGCGATGTTGTCGAGTGAAGAGTGAAAAACGGACGAAGACTTTCGTCGTTTCGGCGATGGCGACAGCTGGAGAACTGTTCGAGGTTTGCTGGATAGGCCTGCGGGCGGAACGCGCACGTGCAGGGGTGCCATTCCTTCTCCTTCGGTCAAAGCCGCGCTTTACGACGCCTTGATGCCCGGGCGACGTGTAGGATGAGCTCGTTAGACAGAGCTTTTACTCCCCGTGCACAATTATATTCTTCGAGGGGGCGAGAAAAGGCTCACTTACCTGCGACCATGGTCAGCAGCCCTCCGACATGCAGCCATAGATCCGCCGCAGCGCCGAACGCACAGGCCAGGACAGTCGCGGCCAGGGCAGCGTAGACGTTCGCCAGATGCCGTTGCACCTGTTGCGTGTTGGGACAGGAATCGGCGGTGGCAGCGGGGAATGACGTGGCCGCCGTGAGGAGGAACCGAGAGAGCTGTTGCATGCGTATTCTATTTATTTATTTTTTGTCTCCCATCATTGGACTTTGTCGTCTGCCCCTCTGGCCCCTATCCTCCACTTCTACCAGCTAGACGACCCAACCGGGGTCACAAAGGAGGGGGGGCTTGGACCCCCTCCTGCGGTTCCGGCCTGAGATATTTTTATCGCGAGAAGGGTACAGCAATCCCTTCCCTCGCGACTTATAAGGTCGAACAAGTTTACTAACAACGAGCTTTGCAGCGCGTCGCTTCCAACGGAGACCATGATTTAATTAGCGAGAAAAACTCACTTTGTCGGGACTCGAACCCATGACCTGGCCCTTAGCAGGCTGCGTATGTACCCTGGTAGTTCTTCAAAATGTACACAACAACTTGTGACAGAGGGCCCTTGAACGCCGGAAACGTGGTGGGGACCCGGTCCAATGTATCATGAAACGTATCCCGAGAAAGTGCTCGAGACTCAATCTCTCGGGCGATGCGCCGCCCTCCTTGCCTCAACAAGCGGCCGTTGGAATGGTTAGGCCGTTGGAATCTAGAGTTGGGTGCCTTCGCTCCGTCCAAGGGTCTGCAAGGTACTTCTTCCGACAGGACAGATGGTTTTTCTACGAGTAGACTATAGAAGAATGTGCATGACTGATGTTGCTTTGGATAAACCTACCATTTTATGTCCGTCATCTTTGCACTTGTTACCCGGCCATGGTTGATGCACACACAGAACGCCATCTGCATGCGGCCGGCCGTACATATACGGCATTTGATGCTGGACTCTGCCCGCCACATGCACATCTGATCATGTACAGCTCGCCCGGGCAGGGAGGGACACAGGGAAAAAACATCTCACCGGAAGGTCTGTTGGTATCCCTTCACCCACCCCTCTGGTACATACCATGGGTGTAGTCGATGGGTGTAGCCCGACACACATCGTTGCCTTACCTCGCCAATCACAACTTGAGCATCAACAGAGTAGTGCAGATGATACGCACTAGGATCTGCACTATGCAGGATATCAAAAGCCCTCCCACGGAAACTCTGAACAGTGCGCCTTCCGCACTGCCATTCATACTCAATTCTACTAGAATGCGGGGGGCCGATGTAGCACATAGCAAGGACCAATAGGCCATACGTACAGTATATGGTTGCCCAGGGGGGGCGTTTCGTAAAACCGACGCTTGGTGCAGCTTCGTGCTACAACGCTCTGTACGATGTGTTTGCCATCATTTACTACTGCTGTCTTACAGCTGTATCGAGTCAAGTTCTGTCGACACAGCATCTACCGCAGTAACTGCTGTTGTATCGATAACGTGCACATCGCTGTTGTGTGTGCAGGTGCTCGCCGCAAACATGCATCGTGCTACACATCAGTAGACTGCTGGTCCATTGGGTGGTTGAACGTTGAACGTTGAAGGATGTAGAGTACTCCTGTAAGAGTCTACAAGTGCGGTGCAGAACAGGTGTTTTTCTAGAAAAAATAAAATCAATACTGACGTGAGTTCCACGAAAGCATGGTAAACACCGACCACAATTGCAAGCAAACCATGGGCATCACTATCATCTCTCCACAACGATGGAGGGCAGGGCCACCACCCAACACGTGCGCACACACGGATGGGAAGCCGCCACGCCACGCTTCAAGACCAAAATCCCTCCGCAACCGCACCGATTAGTCTATTATTATACTATAATAGCTTTTCAGCTTGTCAGGAGGAACAACGAACAGGAGCAGTGTTTTCGACGCTCCACAGCAGGTTCGCACGTTCACATCACTCCCGGCATACGGGCCAATAAACCTACTCCATGCACCTGGTGTCAAAGGCACGGAAGAACGATTGAGTTGTTCTCACCGCCACCGCGGTGGCACGCAGAGACCTATCAATGGAAAACATAACGCGGTGCTTGTACCTACGTGAGCAGATCGGACGGCAGCAAAAAATGATACCGGTAGGTTCAACTCACGTCCAGCGTGATGTCGTTCGCCTTGAGTAGAGCGCTGACGTTGATCTCCCTACCGAGTATGTTTCCCAGTGGAGAGGAAGTCATCACGTAGTCTGGTATAAGCGCAGCCTAGGCCACAGCGACACAGGTAAAGGCAAGAAGGAAGGTGGTCTGTGGTGTTGGTGTGGGCCGTCAGTCGTGTGGAGTATGTGAGCATGTGATGGGGGTATCTACGGAGTCGATAATAACTCCCCCCCCGTAAGTTCCAAATTGGACGATCCCCCCGACAGTCGCTCATCTGCCACACAGCTCATCACATTTCATTTTTATTTGCTCGTTTTAGCACGGCACTGAGAGGGCGGGGGGTTGCCCCACCTCCTCTGCTAGGGACACGCTGGTGGGAGGAAGAAGGGCGCCGTTAGTGCATGGGTAAATTCGACCGGCCGCCGTCGGCGGCGGGTCATGGCATGCCGTTGCAAAGGCTGGCGTCGGAAGGGCCGGAGGAGGCGGCCGCCCGGGAGGAACACAACCGCAGAATACTCCGGCCCGTGCTCGACTTCCTGCTGCTCGCGGCCGTTCTCCTCCCGTGGACGCTTTGGTGGGACATGGCGGGCGAGCAGTGCTGGAACCCGTCGAGCTACAAGGCGGCGGAGCCGACCCTACTGAGGGTCACCCGGGGGGTGTGGATAGCGTGGCTCACCCACGCGGCGGGTTTGCTGGACGAGGCCCTGCGCGTCTTCCTGGGGATAAGGCTCACGATGGGCCTGGGATCGCCGACATCCGTGGACAAGACGTACACCAAGATGTCGAGGCAGGCGGAGATCGTGGCAGAGGTACGCTGGGCTTGGTGTGGCGTCCATTTTGTTGTCGGTGAATGAACACGCGGCTCGTCTAGACGAATGGAATGTGATCCCACTCATTTCGGGCGCTGCTCCCATGTGCTGGCTCTCTGGCGCACTCCACTTGTCTCGCCGATAGTAGTAGTGCGCTCTCGCACGCGTGGGGGGCACGTATCGGTGTGGTTCTACGCCACACATGGGGGATGCCGCTTTCGTACTTGTTATTCACAGTTCGGGATTTGAACGAGCGTTTGCAACAGCAGCAGGACAAAAACGGAACCGCCCGGGGAACGGAGGGAAAAGAACCCCGTGTGCGGCGGCTTTGTTTTTTGTTTTTTGGAAAATCCGGGCGCGTTTTTGGAGAATGTGTTCCGTCTGGGTTGGATGCATGCACACGTGTGCGTCTTCGCTTTTTGGAGACGGGAGGCGCGTCAAGAGTTGCAACTGCCCTGGACTAATGTAGGACCGTTTTCTGCAGCTTTGCGCAGTAGCCGCACTAGACCTGCACGTGAATATGAATACACACACGCAGTGCATCGACCAAATGTATGTGTGCCTCACCGGAGCTTTGTTAATCGTAAGACAGGATAGTGGGTACAGAGTAGTGCAATTTGCCCGAGAATTTTATTTTGAACAACTGCTTTACGGTGGGTTGCAGTGCTTGGTGCGGCATTGCAGCAGCTTCTCTGTGTTGCCTTGGGGGAGGCGGGCACGCTTCAGGAACGCGTTGTACTACTGCTGTACCAGTAATTAGGCAAGAATCATCACCACAAGATCAGGGACGTCTTGATTCAAGGGGCGCGTAGTAGACCTCGCCTCGCCTTGCGAGCGACGCGTGTGCATTCCTCACCAGCGGGTCGAAACCTACCTAGACTCGCCTCGCCTTGCGAGCAACCCATAAGCATACCTCACCCGAGGGTCAAAACCTACCTAGACTCCGCAGGTAACGAAATTTGAACAGCTGCTAACACAAAGATACTTCTGTACCTATGAACCAAGGGTAGCGACGAAGCGTGGCGGTTGTAGTAAGTCTGGCCGGTTGGTTTACGGTGTTGCATGCGACGGTTGCTCATCAAAAATTGCGCCATGAAACTGCCCGCCATTACCCCCACCCCCTACACTGTTTGTGGTCCCAACCGGCTGGTGGTCCGCAGTAACACGACCTTGCGAAGGCCTCGGTAGAAATGTAGCAACGATGTCGACCACCAGTCAATACCCCGCTCAACTACTATTGTAGGCACCTCAGACTGTTGTAGAACATTGAAGTTCTTTTGTAACTGTGGCCTGTTCGGTTCTGAATAAGTACACGTATGGTGGTACGCAACCGTGCTGTCCATATGTGCACACATGGCAACTGGCGGATATATATTCCGCGTTGTTTCTCGAAAGGGAACTCGGAGAGATGGTGGAGTTGCATGTCGATTTGGGTTCGTTCGTGACACTTGCAACCGGACAACAAGGGTTAAGTAACTGACCCTCAAGAACCCCCCCCCTTCCTTGCGCACACGTCTTCTGCTACCCCTCAAACGATTCCGTGTTAATCTTGATGGCGGAGGAGAGCAGGGCATCGCCGTGGATGATTTTCCGGCGCTGATTCGACTCTACGCCGGCGCCGAACCCCCCCGCGCAAACAAGCGTTCGAGCTCCGGGACCGCTCGAAGCGGCAGCGGCCGAATAGGCGGGGACGATGGCACAACCTACGCCGCAGGCCTGGCCGCCGCCGCGCGCGCGCGCGTGAACAAGTCGCTGGTGATGAGGGTCGAGAGGATCGCGGCGACGGCGCGGCTGTGGAGCCTCGTGCCGTGGAGCGACGTGCGTCGGTACGACCGCGTCCACGTCAAGGGGATAACCCTCCGGCTCAGGCAAGTCAAAGGGATCCTCAACTTCTCGTTCCTGGCCCTCAACGAGAAGAGCAGGCCGGGCGTTGTCGGTCTCGGCGGAGATGCGGCCGCGGTGGGTGCTGCGGGCGGGGGGTTGGGTGGGGAGGGTGGCGCCGACGTGGCCGGCGGCGGTCGGCGAGCCCTCAGCTTCGGGGGGGGGGCTGCTGCAGGGCTGGAAGGGTCTGCTGGGGTTGGAGCACCGGAGTACGGCAACGGCAGGAGCTTGGAAGATCTCGACGGCATAGACACGGACGGGGAAGGCGCGACCGACAGCGACGAGTTACTCGAAGACGGGGAGGAAGATGACCACGAAGTCGAAGAAGAGGGAGACGGAGCCTGCTACGGGCCAGTCGACGATGCCGATCTCCTCGCAACGGCCTCCGGCGGTGGTGGCGGTGATGCGGCGGGGGATTGCTACGCGATTTCCCTGTTTGGCAGGCGGAAGCCGCGATCTTCTTCGTTGTCGATGATATCGGCGGACGAAGCGTCACCTCGGTCGCAGTCCGCCACGACGTCCGGCGCCCCCGGATGCGAGGCGCGAAGGGGGACGACACCGTGGGCAGCGGCAGCGACGACTAGCACTAGACCTGCGGCCCCCGGCGCGCGGTCGAGCCACTCGGCGGCGGCGGCGGCGGCGGCGGCGGCAACGGGCACGAGCGGTAAGAGCGGTAACAGTCACCACCAAGCGCCTGGAGCGCGGACACGGTCTATGTCGCTTTCGGTGCAAAAAAGGAAAAAGGCCGCGCCGCTGTCGTCTTCCGAGAACCATGGGAACCTGGGGGTTTTCAAGGTGCTGGGGGAGGCGTTCATGCGACGCTTCAATGCCTACTCGGACCAGGTGCGACAGCTGAACGGTTGGACTCCACGTGCGTTGGATGACGGAATGAGTGTAAGCAGTCCAAGGTTCGATCGAGCGCTGTGAGAAAGAAGCCCGGGACTAATTACCGTCGTTGTATCTGTCGTTGTGGTTTTGCTTGTTTTGCTAAAGCAGCCGAGTGTACCAAGCTTGCACAAGCGCCCCCCCCCCCCCCCCCCCCCC